CTTAAGAACATAATAAGTGAAATAAGTCAGAACTTAAATTTCACAAAAAGTTAAATTTCACGTGGTTTCTCTTATATGGGAAGTATAAAATATAAATAGATAAATAAAATAAAGGACAGATGGTAGGAAATAAGATGCAGACTTTTGCAGGTAGAGAGGAGGATCATGGGAATGGGGAAGGTAAGAGAGAGCGGGCTAAAGGGGTGGGAAATGATCAGGATATGTTATATGCATGTATCAATCTCTCAAAATAAGCATCAGTGTTATGTTGCACATATACAGTATAAAAAATCTCAAACTGGGAATAACCCACATGCCCATTAGTAATGAGATGAATAGGTAATTTTTGGTGTATTTATATAATGTAGTATTGTATTTTAATGAGAATTAATTATATTTGACTACATATAATAATATGGTTGAATCTCAAAAGTATAAACTATGGAGATAAAGAAGAGGAATATGATGTGAAACCATTACATAAGGTATGGTAACATGAAATAAATCTATGCTGTTGGCAATCAACACAGTGGTAGGGGTGTGCACTGGAAGGTTTCTTTCTTTTTGGTACTGGGGATCGAACTTGGGACCTTGTACTTGCGAGGCAGGCAGTGGAACCACTGAGCTAAATCCCAGGCTGGATACTGGTTATTTATGTGTGTTTACTTCGTGAAAATCCATTAACATGGTTGAATTCATATTTAATCCTTCAGTTTAAAGCATTTTACAGAAGGTTGTAAGGGAAATAAAATATGGAATGTTTCACTCTTTCTTTTACAAAGCTGGTGTTTCCTGAAAACTGACGAGGATGGAGCAAAATGTTTCTGATCAAGGTCACTTATGACTACAGGCCCAAAACACTTAAATAAGAGCCCAGCAAATCTAATCCAGAATAATTTTTGAGAAAACCAAGAATGATTCAATATTAGGATATATAAAAATATCGATGATCACATCAATAGGTCAAAAGAGACATACTCCATGCTCATCTTAATAAACGTCAAAAGGCATTTAACAAAATTCAACATCCGTTTCTGATAAGACTTAAACAAATTACACACAGAAGCCCCCTTAGAATGATTAAGAAATGATCTCGAATGAGGAGCTTACATCATACTTAAGAGCAAAGCACAGGGCAATATTTTTCAAATGTATTTTGTCAAGGATCGTGATTTAAATGACAATGTACTGAAGAACAACCAGCAGGAGCTCATGCCACATACGTGCTACATTAAGATGGGGTTTTTCCTGTTTACTCTGAGTTTCAGCTGAGCCTCCCAAAGCTGAAAATAAACACTGTCGCTGTTAGGTATCTCCACAGCTTCTGCCACTTGGGCTGTGGTAGATGTTCTATGCAGAACAGGCTAAGACACTGTGAAACAGGCTGCCAGACTTCAAAGGAGAAGGCTGAGAACTCACTGTATTTGGAAAGGTTTATATTGACTATTGTTTTAGAATAGACAGAGGACCATGTTTTTCCTCCAGGGAAGGAAGGAGAGACTTCAAGTCAAGAGGTAAGGCTTCAGAAGTACCATTTGAAAACTTTGACACTGGTCCTTGGGTTAGAGAGAGATAGGAACTGGTACCTGATTGGCCCCTGAAAAGTTTAAAGAGGCCGTAACCGGTCAGGAGCTCCAATGGTGCAAAGGCAAGGGTAGAAGCTGATTGGAGGAAGCTGAACACACGGAACTGAGCGAGGCAGAGAATGTGTGAGTTCCCCCGGTCCTCTACAGGGTTCGTGGAGTCCAGCTGGATCGTGTCGTCTTGAGAGGGCTCTAGTGAAGGTGAGTCCAACTGAGAAGAGAACCTTTGGGATTCATGGTGCCAGACAGAGGAAGGGGCGCTGCCTATGTGAAGAGTGCTGCAGTTGACAGATCCAAGCAATTGTCATTGGGAAATCACCGAAAAGGGAAGCTGGAAGAACTCACAGGCGTGAATCCAGAGAGCATGCAGGCAGAGAGCAGCGACTCCAGGCTACACCTGTACCAGCCACAAAAAACCCTGTGTCCCTTGGCTGTGCTTGCTTATCCTGCCCTACCTCAAATTCCCAGCCTGTGCCCAGCCCCGGCGAGGTTGAGAACAAGCGCTTGCAAATCATGAGGGGGAGGAACCAGATGTGGGAAAAGAAGTTGGCCGAAGCTCTTGTCCCCGCTGCAGGCTTCCAGGCCACTGGGGAAAGGCATATATTTTAAATTAGATGATGATAAATCAGAGATATGCAAGTATTGTACTTTTATTATCTGGAAATCACTAGGCACATTGGGCATATTTGTAATTTAAACTATGCAAAAGTAAGTCAGAAGAACAGATTTGAAAGGCTTGTGGTGAGAAGGAATAAGAAAGTCATTCTTTAAACTTTACAAACTTTAGCTTATTAAAAAAATACAACACATATACCTGTACCTATGCATGCATATACAAGTATATAATCTTTAAAGAACTTATCAAAAAGTGTATATGCATGTTTTTATATGTATCTTTTATTTACCTTTTACTGTAATACACTTTTGAAACATTAACAACTGTATTTTTTATAATACCATGGTATGAAATGTGGATTAGTACACACACACACGCTCATAATTCCTAGCTTTGTTCACCGAATAACCTAGAAGCAGTAACACCCCAGTGATTATACGCATGCTTAAAAATATTAAAACAAAACTTAAATCAGCAATACAAATACAACTGGGAAAAATAGCTTAGTTGCTAATGAGCACAAAATACATCCACATAAAGACATGTTTTACACATTTGTGCTGTCCAATATAAACCAAGGGACTAAAATGCAAGAACATTGCTTTTGTGTCTTTTTAGCTTGCATTGAGTTAAGAGCAACCATTGCCAATGAATTACATCCTCACAACAGTATAGGATTGCGTTTACTTCTACACTTTGTTTTCACTGCAGTAAAACATGCAAAATCCCATTTTCACAGTTCTGTAAGGAGCACAAAGAAGACGACTGACAGCAAGGTCATCTCCCCAAATCCTGCACAGCTTCCTGGGGTCTAATGGAGGCATTAGAGAGTGTTCTTCATACAACGCACACCAAGGACCCAGAGCATGTGTGTTCACAGTGGAAGGCAAGCCAAGGACAAATAACCTTCCTTGTACTTTTTTTACTACCCAGTGTGTATTTGTTCAAGTTGAGTATTATTTCTACTTAGACAATTTTCATCTGTGCTTTTAGAAACTGCAGAGAGAGTAGATAACCTTGTCTTTGAAGTATTTTGTCTTGGCCTCTTTGATGAAGATGGTTTGAGAGCCATAAAACTGCTTTTCATTGATGTGTTCTCTCTGAACCCTATTGTATAAAAGCAGTAATAGACAATATTTATTCATCATTACGTGTCACATAATCTGCTTTGGGGCATACGACATTATTAGCTGAGAATGAGGACATGGAGGAGCATCGAGAGTCATCTGTGCAGCCCGACCACCACGGCTGTGTGCGGTCTCCAGTGAAAGCAACAACAAACCACACACTTACTTACTAAATAATAATGTATAGTATCACATAGAGAAAGGTATGTGTCATAGATCGGCCGTTGTTAAACAGGCAACAAGATCATGTAAAAGGAGGCCTGTTGTTAAATGTAAAGATCGAAGGTCATTTGCTTAGGTGTCTCCTTTCCTCCCAGGCACCTTTCCAACGTTCTGAGTTTACTGAAGGTAGATCACAGCGTAACTGTGTATTGTATATTACTGTATGTAGTGTGGATTAATGTAGTTAATATATATCAGCCTATTAATATGTATTACTTATTTTGAAAACTCGAATCACCTATTTGAGGTTTCCTCTTGGATATCTGAGAATACTTCCAATTCAACTTATCTCAACCCCAACTGGGCTTTTCCATGTTCTCTGGGTTGATGAATAACGTCCACTTCTCAGCGTTTTAGAGGTGGAAGTCCAGATCCATCTCCACCGCGCTCACACCGTGTTCCACCCAGCACTACGCGCTGCCTTCTTCCTGGCACCTGGCTCACGTCCACCCCGCCATCACCCCCCGCGGACGGTCATCGCCTCCTCAGTGTACGGTCACAGGGACTTGTGCCAATTCCAATTTTTCTCCTCCCTCTATCGAAGTGATCTCTTCTCAAAAGCAAATCTCAACATGTAAGTCCTTCAAATTCCTCAAAGCTTTCTATCATTCCTAAGTCAAACTCTCACGCTGTATGATTAGGCCCTCCTTACCAAATTCCAGTTGTGGCCCACTGCTTTTCATTTTCTCTACTCTAGCCACTGGCTTTTTTCTCCCGGAGCCTTGCACTCCCAGTCTTACCTGATCTCTGCACATAGCTCTTCCTTCTCTTCTTCTTCTTTTGTTTTTCCTTTCGGGACAGAGTCTCACCAAGTAGTGCAGGCTGGCCTTGAATTCACTGTCTAGCCCAGACCCGCCTCCATCTCTCGGTGATCCTCCTGCTCAGCCTTCTGAATGCTGGGATTCCAGCCATGCGCCATCATGCCTGCCCCTCTCTTCTTTGTCGCTCAACCCTTCAATTGTCAATTGCTACTTCCTAAAAGAAAGAAACAAACAAACAACCCTCCCATGTCAATTTTCTTATTATATAATTTTGTGGTAGGAGAAAATTTAGATGAACTCAGTTTAGTGATAACTTTTTAACATACAATATGAGGGCTGGGGATTTAGCTCAGTGCTGTCTGCCACCTGCCTTGCAAGCACAAAGACCTGAGTTTGATCCCCAGTACCAAAAACAAACGAACAAAAAAGATGCAATATAAAAGGCATCATCCGTGAAAGAAGTAATTGACACATTGGAATTTGTTAAAGTTACAAACCCTTGTTCTGTGAAAGATGCTGTGAATAAAATAAGAAAGCCACTAAGTAGGAGAAAATATTTTCAGACCAGATCGAGCAAGTTCAGGGTGGTATGGCCATACATGAGAAAATATTTTCAAAAGACATCTGATAAAGGACTGCTACCCAAAATATACAGAGGACTCAGCAATAAAAAAGATCAGCAATAAAAACAAACCACAATCTGATCATAAAATGGGCCAAATATCTGAATAAACATCTCAGCAAAGAAGATACACAGATGGTAAATATAAATACAAAAGGATACTTTACATCATATGTCATTAGCAAAATACAAATTAAAATAAGACAATACCATGCCAAACCTATTAGACACAAGAACATTCAAAACACCCATACTTTCAAATGATGGTGAGGATGCAGCTAGCGCAACCTTGGCCCTGTACTGACGGGAATGCAAAATGGAGCCCCCACTGTGGATGAGTCAGCAGGTGCTCAGGTAACCTAACACACACACCACACAATCCAGTTGTGCTCCTAGGTGTTTACCCAAAGGAGATGAGAAGGTGCGTTTACACAAAAAGCCCTGCACAGAGTGATTATAGAGGCTTCAGTCATGATTTTTAGAACTTGCAAGCAACCAGCACGTCCTTAAATGGAGAAGCAAACTGCAATACACTCACACAATGGAACATTAGCACTAAAAAGAAATGAGCTCTCTAGTCACAAAGGGGCTTAATACTAAGTGAAACTATGCATTGTGTGATTCCAACTGCAGTGTGTGGCATTCTGGAAAAGACGAATGATGGATACAACAATCGGGAGAGAGAAGGACCTAAAACAAAAGTTAAAGTTTCCTCTTACCAGCACCAATATACTTAGAAGTGACCATTCCCTCTGTAGACCTTTTTACCATCTGTTTCTAAATTGAGATCAAATGGAATAACGTGAAAGAAGGTATTTTGAACATATTAAAATTACTGTAATAACAGAACTTCTTATTTTTTAATTATGTATCATTACCTAGATGAACTCACAGTAAACTAAAAACAGATGGCCTTAGCTGGTCAATTGCTTTGTTTTGGCTTTGCATTAACAACTAACTTTAATGAACATTCCAGTATTTGTTATTTCACCAATTGTTAGAATCAAAATATTTGGTGCTCATTTTATGCATCACAGTTTAAGATGATTCTTTTACTAGATGAAATATCACTTAAATGCCCGGCAAATACCATCATAGTAATTGTCATGGCAGATTTGTTTCCTTATGACTCCGTTTTGTATAGTACTGTGTAATTCTTTAAAATCATTTAAAATTCTATATAAAATAAACAATTTATTTTGACTTTACACTAACCTATGTTTAAAATTTGGCTCTTAAAATGCTGGCTGTGTGATCTTAACAAGAAGTAACTTTAGCTTTGCAAAGCTTAGTTAATTTGCCTGCAAAATAGGGATAAAAAATATCTTCACTTGCTGATTGTGAAGAATAAATGAGATATTGTGTAGGAAAAAAAAGGTCCAGATGGATGGATGGATGGATAGATAGATACATAGATAGAGGAATACATGTATTTAATTTAGTACCAATAAAATCAGGTTGAGATTTCATAAAATTTGAGGAGGGACTTGAGAAAGTAATTTTAAAGTTAATCTAGAAAAATGTGGATGCAATATTGCTGAACATTAAAAAGAATTATAAGGCACAATAATAAAACAATGTTACAGAATAGAGTTTTAAACATACACATTCATGTATAGTTAATGCACAACATAGCTGGCATCATAAATCTCTGGAGAGAGAATAGTTTATTCAATAAACTTTGTTGGAACATTGGGCTAACCATTTGGCAAGAAACTTAATCTCTTCCTCAAATTATATACCAAAATAAACTCCAGATGGGGTTATACCTAAAAGTTAAAAAGTGAAAAGTAAAAAGAAAATCTAGGAGAAAACAATAAATGAAGGCCATCAAAGGCAGAAGCCAGACCCTTAAAAAAAGATACAAAAATAAAGGCCTTTGCCAGTGTGAACAAAAAAGAAATGTCAGTAACAACAACAACAACAAAACCCACAAGGATAACCATAACTTTCCAAGTAGAGAAAGGACAAATATCTATAACACTCTATAAAGAAACTTTATAAATTTTGCAACAGACAAATATTTCAACAATAAATGTCTAAAGGATGAGAACAAGTGTATCACAGACGATTACATGTAAGAATGAAAATGCTTAATCCTGTTAGTGTAAAAATGCAAATTAAAGAAACACCAGCAGATTCGACTCCGTGGTGGTGATAAGGAAAAGGAGGAATTGGCTGTCAGTCAGGAACTAGGCGAAGGCAGTGAGGAGCGGGAACTGCGCCCCCACGGGCAGCCATGGCCGGCTCGTTGGTTCATGATTGCTGCGGAGAAGCGGGCTATTTGAGCAGATAAACACCAGGAAGATGGCTCTGTCCATCTGGCTTTGCTGTAATAAAAGGCCGGTGACAAGAAAGGAAGGTCACTCAGCTCCCAGTTCCGGAAGTGAGGAAGTTTGGCCTCACGTAGCTATAACGCTGTGGCTGGGGCGCGCGCAGCGGACGGGCAGGAACGTGCCGAAGAGCATGCTGGGACAGTGCCGGGCTCGCCCCCTAACAGCGCAGTCTCGGGTCGTCAAGCTCCGCAGGCCCCACACTCAGAGGCCCCGGCCCCTCTCCACACGGTTACATCGGGGCCCACACCTCCATCCCAGTCTCGCTGAAGACCTTCAAACGCATCCAAAGTCAGGGAGGAAGAGGAGATGTTCAGTGGTGCATTTTATTATTTTCTTGAGTAATTGGTTGTTTTTCAGGGCTTGGTCAAGAAAACGAAAAGTTAACACATCAGTGTGTAGTGAAGAAAAAAATAACCCAATAAAAATCAACCAAAATACTGAGTTTTCATCATCATGTGAAGGTTTTTTGGTTGTGCTTATATAGGCTTGTTACTAAAATACGAAAAATCTCCCGAAATGAAGATATGATTTTGAGCCCCCAAACTGTGGGTGGATTGGACACCACTCCGTTGGACTGGTTCTAGTGTCAGAGTATTGAGGAAAGCCCAAAGCATAAATGTCCTTCATGAAAGAAGCATGCACACAGTGCTGTAAACGTCCCCTTTGGACAGATTCGTTTAGAAGACAGCTTCACATTTGCAGTCGTTGATAAGAGAAACAGCAACTTCTAAAACTTTTCTGTAAATAAATCTGAGGAGGAAAGAGGAAAACAAGGATCAAGAAAGTAAGTGAGAATAACTACAGGAAATCCCTCTTCCAGACTGGCATCTGGTATCCTGTGGGGCATTTCCGGTGGAGCTGCCAGCCTGCTAGGTAGCCCAGGGTTTAAGGTGCGCTGATCCGCCAGCCAGATTTCTGTGTGAAGCCACCGCAGGCCTGTGTAGACGTGCCTCATCGGTCCTCTTTCCAGTTGCAAATATTTGCTGTTTTTCCCAAAATGATGAGCATAACTTCATTTACCCCCTAGGTCTCAAGTCACTGTAGGATGAATCTCAGTCTGCCCTCCCATAAGGATTATTCCAAAATCCCTCAACATCGTGATCCATGGAATAACAGCAGACATTTGTTTCTTACCTCGGAAGTTAAATCTAGCCTTGGAGGAATTCTCTTTATTCAAGAGGGGAGCTTTTTTGTATGGAAATGAACTTGTTTATATTGATATCTTAAAAGCAAAAAGGCCCACAATAAGAGACGATTCCTAGTCTAACAATGTATTCAGGATGTGTTAGAGGCATTGAGCTGCTCACCCGGGCTTCCACAGCCAAGGTTTATGGAGAAAATATCCCAGATCTCTGCATGTTCAGAGCTAGCATGAATTTTTGGAGAAACAATCTTAAGAGCATAGTCATGTAGAAGCATTCTTCTCGTAACCCTTCCATCACATCCAGACAACCACTCTGAAGATGAAAAATGAGGCTGAGGCTGGAGGATTGCACGTTCAAGCCCAACCTCAGTAACTCAGCAAGACCTTGTCTCAGAATCATAAAGAAAAAAGAGGTGGGAATGCAGTTCAGAGCAGAGGCTCTAGGTTCACCCTCCAGTACCACAGAATGAAATGTAAGCTAAATCTCGCACCTGTGCTACCAGAACACTGGATGCTCCCAGATTTCCCAAGTAAGGCAGGGCTCCTCTCCCTGGGCAGTTCTCAAACTCTTACATGTTTTCTGATGAACTGATGGAAAATTTTTGCAGAGTTTTCCATCTGTATTGGTTTGCTCTTCTCATCTCAGACCTTCCAAATTATTACTCTACTGGGGAGCAGTACAAGGATAACCACATATTCCGAAGAAAGAGACTGCAGCAGGCCCCAGCGGCTGCTCTCAGAGGGACACTCTCTAGGCTTTCCTCACAGGGATACACCAGCACAAAGGCAGGCATTCTTGTTCTTTCCTTGTGTTCATTTTTTTTTTTTTTTTTTTAAGACAGGGTCTCACTATGTAGTTCAGCCTGCCCTGGAACTCACTGTGTAGCCCAGGCTGGTCTCGAACTCACAATGATCCTGTCTCAGCCTCCCGAGTGCTGGGATTACAGGTGTGTGCCACCATGCCCGGCCCCATGTTCATTTTTTAAAAATTTGATTCTCAAAGTTTTTCCAGTGACTTAGGTCTGAGTGGGATTTTCCTGCCACCTATTCTGTGACGGTGAATGACAAGAGTCTACCCCAACATAGAGTGTGGGAACTTCTGGTTGGGTCACTCACGGCAACAGAGTGAAGATGGACACAGACTGGACTCTCGAGAAGCAGTACAGTGTGTCCAAAGCACATCTGTTCAACCTGTAACTCCTACTATGGCTCTGCTGATGTCATGAACGGTGGCCTTCACACCGTAGCTAGGAGGAAGACAGTTGTGCAAGAAATCCCTGGAGACTCCCAGGGGCGGACGCTGCTGACAATGTGAGTGCGACGTCTTCAGTAGGGAAGGGACAGGCTCCAGGGGCTCAAGGGGGGCAGAGAGGAAGGAGTGCCTTTGGTTGGCAAGCCCCAAAGGGTTCTAGGAGTGGGAGACTTTGGAAGAAACATTTGCCCTAGGATGGGGAAAGGGGGCATGCTGGACTTAAGATGAGGTGACCCCACTTGCAATCTCACTCTGCCCCTGTCTGTGTGCCTCGTTCACGTTCCACGCTCCAGTCCCAGCCAGAGGAAGCTGTGATGCCAAGGTCCTTCTCCCTTGGGAATGGCAGTGCTGTGAGGTCCCTGGCACTGACTGGAAGGTCTTGGGGCAAGTGTGTTTCCAAGGAGCTACTAAAGAGGTTCTGATCAGGTGTTGAGTTTGCAAAGTTGTAAGAATACAAATACTAGTCCTGTGGCTATCTAGTCAGTGGCCACTTTCAGCATTTTAAATACGCCAAACTGTGCCCACCTCAGGGCCTTTGCTCATGCTAGGGCCCTTTCCTGGCCTCCCAGTGAGAGTGCAGTTTCCTAAAGTCTGAGCCTGGTTAGTTTATGCTGCAGATTTTTGCCCAACTATCCTTTCTTCAGATTAGATTTGCTGCCCTATCCAGATTCCCAGAATATCCAGTCTTCTGTTTCAGAGCATTTATCCCAAAAATAATACACTTATATTTATTTATGTAATTTTCTTTTTCCCTAGACTAGAGCTCTGTGAGGATTGTGACCATTTCTGTCTCATTCAATATAATTTACTTTAATAGCCAACCCTGGTGACAAGCATATATTAAGCAGGCAATAAACATTTTGTTATAGATTGAGCCAGAGGGAGCAATAATCACTTTTCTTGAGTACCTGTGTATTTCAGGCCAAGTGAGGTCTTGGATTTATCCTCTCTCTTCCAAAAGAAACAGGCACTGCGGTAAGATATTTGGATTAATAACATCATTTGATGTTTTCGTTTGTCTAGCACTTCTACTTGTTTGGTGTGCTTACAACAAATGCTCCTTATAATGTTTTCCAGAAGGCTAAAATTTTTCAAACACAGACAGTTAAGTCTGAAGGATTGTAAGCTATTTCCAAAAGTTAGTTAGACCATTGTTTTATGAACACTGTTTTGATTTCTCAGACAATTTGAAAGTGCAACTTCCTCCTTCTGAACAGCTGGCGACAGGTGACTCCTTTCGGTTGGAATAATTTAGTGAGATGTGACTTTGGCAGCGAGTATAAGAAAGCACCAAGACTAACTGAAATTTTCAGGTCTCCATAGCTTAAAAATATTGCCCATGAGCAGCTCTTGCACTTGCGGTTTTCCCTCTCACAGTGACAACTTCAAGAACGGTAAACATAGTCTTGATAAATAAAGCAATAAGGCTCCCAAATACCAAAGGCTTACAGCGACCAGCTGTCCCGGTTTGCTAGAGCCCTAGAGGTTTTGTGGGGAGAAGGGTGCGGGGTCCCGGGCAAGCCAGGACCGCTGCCCCCACTCTTGGGTTCTGGGCCCCGCGTGTGAGGATGAGTCCTGCTCTGCACAGGTTCAGTCTCCTCTTTCCTGAGCTGTAACTTGAGGCCTGGGAAGGGGCGAACGTTGCTCTGCTTGGTCTGAAACGAACAGCCTTCAGCTGCCCATGAAACGAGGGTGCGAGCGACCCTGGGGACGACGTCAGCCCCAGTGGCACCAGGGCCCCCCATGGCGACACCGAGGGCGGGGCCTCTGCGGACAGGGGAGCTCGGAAGGCCAGGCCCGGGAGGGAGAGCTGTGGGGTGACCCACAGTCCGCCCCGCCTGCAGAGGGAGTGCAGCCCAGCCCTGCGCCCCCGAGAGCCGCGCAGAAGAGAATTTATGCTGCCGGTCAGGGCGCGATTTCCCCACAGTCCGGCCAGGCTCACGCAGCATCCTCGGGGAGGAAGGCTCGCCCCACGGGGAGGGAAGGCGCAAAGGTCAGGCCCCTGGCAGGGAGCAGATAAGGCTGGGGGTGGAAGGTAGAGTCGGCCAAGGGCAATAAACAGGCCTCTCCGCGTCTCCCAGCAACGCCCAAAAGGAGCCCACGAAGAAAGCAGGAGGGAAGGAACCGACTGCTGCAAGAATGGCTGGGGCCCTTGACCATTGTAAAAATATCTTCAGCGAGAGAATTACAGGGGCCTGAAGCAAAGAGCAGGGCCCTGCGTCCACCCGAAGGTGCTCGGAGCCGGGCTCCCCCAGCACAGCCTGGAAAGTGAGGTGGCCCTGCTGCTAAAGAGAGTTTCCCGAGGCGGGGGCCCCCTCAGAGTGACGAGAGAGCTCTGTGTCCCCAGGCCACCCAAGAATCCACACGGAAACGTCCCCAGCTGGGACACGCAGCCTCGCTGTGCCCCGTGGGTCCAAGGCGGTCGAGGTGAGAGCTTGTGGTGAATCTCAGCTCTACCCGCTCCTCTGGAGAAGCACAGCTCTGGCACGGAACCCTGATCTTGCAGCTCACAGAGAAGCAGCCTCGGAGTCCCCCGCGCAATTCTATAGGGCCTTGGCTCTTCCAGGCTTGCTCAGAAAAATGGGAAGGAGGGGACTAATTTATTAGCTGTTAATGTTGTTGCACAATAATTCTCATCTCTGAGTTGCAAAAACCCAGTTGGAACGGATGGAAATGTAAAGTGACAAAAATGTGAAGT